TCTCTTCTCTTCTCTTCTCTTCTCTTCTCTTCTCTTCTCTTCTCTTCTCTTCTCTTCTCTTCTCTTCTCTTTTCTCTCTTCTCTTGGAGCTTTCTGAGATTCCAATAATGCAATCCTATACTTTAGTTATTTGTTTGTTAGATTTATATTTTGCCTTTCATTCAGACACTTGGGCAGCAGTATGTAGCATTCCTTCTTCCCATTTTTTCCCACAGGAATAATCCCGTGACGTAGGGTGAGTTTCCATGGCTAAGGGTAGACTTGTATCTACATCTCCTCAGTGCCAGTCCAACACTTCAACCATACTGGCTCTCTACTCAGAAATAAGCTAAATACAAATGTACATTGGTGATCACTGAGGAAATACGTCATTCACTGAGAAATTGAGCCAAAATGTCATGGCTTGTTTTTGACCCAATGTTTAGTGTTCTACATCTGCTCATATTTGCAGTGTTTTATTGTAGGTACAGCAAGATTTTTCAGCTACTATTTAATTAAGTTATTTAAATTTAGGCTTCATTGTTTGTGGTTCCACAGCCAGAAACTTCAGGGTGAGCCAGAATGGGGCTTAAGTATATTGTATCATTATCAATTTATCTATCTACTTTGGCAGCCGTGCTTTCATGTTGTCTTGATTAGAAGCAACTACCCCTTAAAGCTCTCCTAGCTGGAACATGGCTGGGCTACATATGTGAGTTTGATTATGTAGGGCGTATCAGAAATCAGTGTTAAACATACAAAGACTAAAGTATAAGATGTTTCATATTTTAAAATAAAGTTTTAAATAAAATAATTTGAATACAAGTAAGCATCAAAGTATTTGTCACTTGCTGGAAAGCCCAGGCAGATTGGTGCCTGTTGATCACTTGGACAGAAAACTGTTTCTTATGGTTTTCCTTGTATTTCATTTAGAAACTGAATGAGAGATACCCAGTACAACCTGACTCTGGTTAAAACAATTTTAACGTCTGTTTGTCATAGAAAATCAAACTAGTGCAGAGCCAAGTTCATAGATAGTTTAATGCTTTTTATAAACTGAAACCTGCAGATTGCTGTTTGGAAGCCTCTGTACAACTATCAGTCATGTCAGTGAACTATTATAATTGAAGTTGAGCCCATTGATGGCTTCATAATGGACTGAGAATAAAACTGTCAAAGAATTAGAAAGAGGAGAAAAGTTTGAGAGACCAGGATGACCTATAAATGATATATATTTTGATTGTGGAAGTTGTCTGACCTCTTTTTCTGCTGTCTTTATTTCAAAGGGAACAGAAAAGTTCATCCCTCCTTTGGTTGCATTCTTCAGAGTACAGTATTATGTAGAAAACGGGCGAGTCATAAGGTACTGTTGACTATTATTTCCAAAAACAAATCCCTAATTAATGTTCACCTTTTTGTTCTCCTTCTATTTAATACGATGCCATATTCAGCTTTCCATAGCCAGTTTGCTTAGGGTGGGATGGGCTGTCATGGTATTGGATCCAAGCAGCAAGTCCCACCATCAAACACAAAGTGATAGTTTGGCACTAATCCATTCTTCCAACACACATGACATCCTCTGTAAATGGAAATCTAATTGGCTGTGTTTGATCAATGTCATTATGTAAAAAAGAATAATTTTGGCTAATTTAGCAAGCTGAAGAGAGAAATGTTGCCCTTCTCCAAACTGTCAGAGAATTCTGGAGGTGTTTCTTTTTCACAATGGAAGTTAGATTAATTATTTAATTAGCTGTATTACCTATCACGGCATTCATGTCTGCCATGCTTGCACAGCTGTTTCCCACAGTAAACATGTAAGGTATGAATGGCAGGTGCATTGAAACACCTGTGCATACACACCTGGAAACTTTTGATAGAGCTTCATTCTCTACCAGGGTTGTGCAGTGATCTGGATTTGAAAAGGAAAAGATGATTTGCAGCATGTGTGAGCGTGCACATCACACACATTGGCATCTCTTTAAATCAAATCAAAAGAAGCTGTACCTTTTTCTGGCTCACATGGCTACTGCCATGTCATTCCAGGAAAAATGAATTGTATTTAAGGAGATGCAGACAGGTGCAGCACATGTACCTGTGGGCACACCAAGTCATCTTTTCCCTTTGAATCCAGATCCCTTGTATAACACGCTTTGGCATACG